TTTTTTTTTTTTTTTTTTTTTTTTTTTTTTTTTTTTTTTTTTTTTTTTTGAAAAAAGTCGCATTATTTAATGTATGTATGTATAGTACAGTCTCTTAAGTTTACGCTTAAAAATTGTAGAGCAAAAATATTTGATTTACTTACTAACTACGTACACCTAGTTCTCATGCTTTTTGTATAAGGTCGCAATAAATGATATACGTATAGTTGCACACTATATATAAATCAACAGATATAAATATACACAGTTGTGTACTTAGTATATGTAGTTGCATGCATGCAAGGTATATAGGATTTTATTTAGCTCAGCTAATTTAGATTAAAATGGGCATACAAATCTATTTACAAAATATTACTCGTACATTATTGATTCGCATCGTATTTAAAGGCCTTCGCATGGAATGTTTCGAATTCGGCTGTTGATTTGTAATTCTTCATTTCATTTTCGTATCGAGTGCTTATGTTTCAGTGTACAGCACAGCTTTGTTCGCAGCTTTTTATTAGATATACTCGGTTTATTCTGCTCAATTATATCGAATACTGAGTCTAAACTGTAACTATATAACGACTATAAAGTGATTGCCATACAAACTACATGCTACAATAAATAGAAAGCTGCATTTTTAACTAACTAAAGCGTCGGCATCAAATTCAACTGTGTGTGAATGGGGAGAGTTGCTCTGTGGAAGCCTGGTTGTTGCTTTGCGAGCACCTTATAAAGACGAACTTAGTACAAAAGAAAACTTAGTACGGGAGCGTATTGTACTTATATGGGCGGATTTTTAAAATATCTCTTGTTCATATTGAGGCATTTGTATGTTAACTAAATTAGCCGTTCCTCCGGAGGCGGCTTGAGCACATTGTCCATTTCTAGCCGAGGATTGCAATACTCCTGAGCACTGGGACTGTAGGTGCCTCTCGTTGCGCGCTTGTTGCGTGCCATTACCAAGAACGTGCCCAGCAGCCCACCAGCAATCAGCAACAGGACTACAACCACTGGAATGACAATGATGGCAATGTCTGTCGTCGATGGGCCATCCTCCTTGGCCATTATCTGCAAATATAAATAAGTGTATTTTAGAGTTAGGCATTTAAATTTGCTTCTCTCTTTACATACCGGCGCTGTGCAGTTCTTGCCCATGAAACCTTCGGTGCAATTGCAGTAGTAATCCGCCTCTTCGCCGCAGTTCTCCACGCACTGTCCGCCATTGGCGCAAATGTTTGGGGTATTGCATGGATCGGTGAAGTTACAGAAGGCGCCACAGTGGGGCTTTTGGCAAATGCACTTGAAGCTACCCGGCTTATTTATGCACCGGCCAAGCTCTCCACAGTACTTCACTTCCTGGACGCATTCGTTTATATCGTTTTCACAATGCACGCCATCGAAGCCAGTGGCCAGACAGTCGCATTCATAGTCACCCACAAGGTCGTGGCACTTGCCGCCATTCATGCAGGGATTCGAGGCGCATTCGTCGATCTCCTCCTCGCAAAGGCGTCCCGTATAGCCCAGGCTGCATTTGCAATTGGGTATCTGTAAATGAATATTTGCATAATATAATTACTATATATCGAACATTAATTAGTATGCACTTACGCCATCTGTAGTGAGACAAAGGCCTCCGTTGAGGCAGGGAGTCAGCTCACAGAAGGGCGTGTCACAGAGTGCACCTTCAAAGCCCATAGAGCAAGTGCAGGTAAAGTTATTTCCGGTTTGAGCATCTAAAAAGTAAAGAACGGTTTAGATTTATAACTGAATAGTCTTAACAAATGAATCCTTAGATACTCACTAAATCCATTCTCGCAGCCCGATCCATTGCGGCAGGGCTCATTCTCGCAGGTCATCTGCTTCAGAGCATTGCACTGTGGACCCGTGTACTCGTCAGGGCAGTCGCAGCGGTAGGCAGCAATCAGATCCGTGCAGTTGCCGCCATTGTGGCAGGGCTGGCCGGCACACTCGTCAATGTTCTGCTCACAGTAGCGCCCCTCGAAGCCGGGCAGGCACTTGCAGTGGAAATCGGCCACAAGGTTGATGCAGGTGGCATTGTTTTCGCAATTGGTGTTGAGGCACTCGTCAATGTCTGTGCCGCAGTCGTCGCCCTCGTAGCCCGCTGGGCAGGTGCACGCGTACTCCTCGGTTGGCGCATTGCAGAAACCGTTGTTCTTGCAGTCCACCTGGAAGCACAGAATGCAGCCCTCCTCGGGCCGGGTCGAGTTGAGGCGGAACTGCGCCTGCAGCTGCACGGACACATTCTCAGTGTGTGGATACAGCTCGGCATTAGAGAAGTAGGGCAGCAGCAAGTCACCAACACGCGCCTCACCCAGGCAGCCCTTGAACTGGGAGCCCTGCTGCGAGGATTGCGTGGAGCCACGCAGTTGACGCGACTCAGGCATGCCGCCCAAATAGACTTGTGTGCTGCTGGAGAGCAGCTCCTGGAATGCTGCCTGATCGATGTCCGTGGAGAAACCGGGCGTGGGATCCACCATCGACTCCCAGCCCTTCCAACCACCTTCCAGTTTACCGTTGTGCGCACGCAAGTAAATGCGGCTCCATTCGCCATCCGTATTATCCTTCTCAAAGCGTCCAGACTCACCGATATGCAACTGCGTCAGTTTCCAGGTAACAGTGACCCGACCACCATTGACGCCGATTTCAAAGAAGCTATCCTGGTTGTCAATGAAGAGAAGAGTGCCGCCGGCGCGCGTGCGATAGGCAATCTCAATGATCGGTTTCAGTGGCGGCTGCTTGGTCACGCCAATCTCATCTGGCAGCTGTTCCTTGAAGTAGGAGAAGGCCAGTGGCGAATGTTCCAGACCCGTGAATGTGATATTGGTTAAGCATTCGTAGCCATCGTCCAGATTCTGACAGACGCTGCCGCCGGGACAGGGAACCAGCTGACAGAATTCAATCTCCTGGCAGTCCTTGCCTTTGTAACCGTTCGGGCATTTACAGCTGTAGTCGTTCCATGTGTTCCGGCACTCGGCATTGTGCTTACACGGGTTCTTGCGGCACAAGTCGTCGGACACCTCGCCCTGCAGCACCGAGGTGCGGTCAATGGTGACTGCTCCAAATGGCTTGGCGTTCACATTCACATCGGTCACATTCAGGGGATACATCTCAACGATCATGTTGAGGGAGCCGTTGCTCACTTTCACATCCTGAATGATGCCTTTGAAGTAATCCTTACTGTCGTCCATGTCCTTGCTGCCCGCAGTGCTACTAACGGCGACGCTAGTCTCGTCTAGACCCGGCTCAGTGCTGGCTGGCAGCAGGGATTCGCGTGTTGGCGCCGGACCACCCAAGTAAAGCACCTGTGCATCCAGCAGACCTGTCGTCGACAGCGTCTTGCGGAAGTACTCGGTACCATTGAGCTTGACCTGCACCAGGGTCTGATTGCGCACCACCTCAATTAGATGATTGTAGCCATTGTCCAGCTTCTGTCCACCCACCGTGTACGCTTCGGGCGTGCCATTAAACTGCATTTTCACCAGCAGCTCGCCGCCATGCAGTTTAGCTGACACATACGAGTCGCCAACGTCTGAATGAAATTGAGATTTTAGTTTAGTACTCCTTGTAACTATTTACTCCTATTTAAGTACTCACTCTTTGTTGGCATTTTGCGGGGATCGCTGCCCAAGTAGAAGACCTGACCCGTGGGCTCGCGCGTTCGTATAAACATGGATATGTCCAAAATAGAGCGTATGGCACGTCGGGCTACGTCTGTCGTCTCCACAATCACAGCCGAGTGCGTCGTATTCTCGTGTCCGAATGTTGCAGCGGTCATATCTAATAAGATTGCGGATTAAAGTCAATGTTATTCCCAGCATTCATTGGGATATGCAAGCGTTCACTTACTGTGCTGGCACGTATGCCCAAAGAACGGTCTGGGACAGTGGCAGGCGAAGGTGTGCCATAGATCTGTGCACTCGCCATTTGAGTGACATGGATTTGGTCTGCATTGCTCCGTGCGCGGGCAGCCGCTCTGAACGTACGACAGCTTCGTACTCTCACTGTTCGTGTCTTGATCGTTCTGCTCGTCGGGGAAGATCCATTTGCCATTGACGACAACATCCTGCATGCAGCCCACGAAGCTGGACGGCTGATGCGTCAAGTGGCGCAGATAGGACTTCAAGTTGGGTATGGTGCCGCCCAGATATGTCAACGGAAACGAGGGCTGGCTGTTGTTGGCCGTCTCGTAGGAGCCAACCGGATAGATGGCCTGCTCATCGTTGGCGGACAGCACAAGGTGAGAGGTGTTTATAGCCACAAACACTTTGTGCCAGTTGCTGTCGTTCAGCTTGGAGCCAATGAACACACCTTCCCATTTGTTCAGCAGCGATGAGTGCAGATTCAGCCGTCCATTGATCAGCTCCAGGATGTAGCTAACCGGTTCGTTCTGTCCGCCGGATGTGCCGAAGGCAAGCACGCCGTTTGGCAGCGTTGTCTTGAATTGCAAATTGATGTCGTAGCCCTCGTCGCGTTGCGTCTTCACAGTTATCAGGCTGCTGACAACCATTGAGAGCGTCGTGGTCTTCTCACAGGTGTCGCCCTGGAAGCCATGCTCGCAGGAGCAGTTGAATAGGTGTATTGTTTCGTTCACCAGGAAGGGATGACAGGTGCCGCCATTCAGACAGGGTCCACTGATGCAGCCAATCAGCGGCACCGAACAATTCTTGCCCCCGAAGTTGGCGTCACAGTCGCAATCGTAGTCGTTAATCTGGTCGATGCAGGTGCCATTGTGACAGGGATTATAGCGATCGCATTCGTCAATGTTGATCTCACAGTGGGTGCCCTCAAAGCCCGGATCGCACTCACAAGTATAGGTGCCGATCTGATAGATGAATATAGGTTAAATTGGGGTTTTCTTATTGACATTTGATTGCATGCACTTACTCCGTCATTGCAGGTGCCATGCTTCGTGCAGGGATTGCTCTCGCACTCGTTGATATTGATCTCACAGTTTTTGCCAATGATGCCCGGCACGCACACACATTCATAGCTGTATAATTAGACATTATATTAAACTATTCACTTTGGTTTTGTTTGCTTCATTTTCTGGTCTCACCCGCTGGCATTCTCATAGCTGAAGGGCTGGCTAAACACTCGCGGCAAGTCCATGACTCTGCTCAGCTGATACAGCGTGGAGTTGGAGCGCTCCAAGCAGGTGCTGTTGTACTGGCAGGGATTGCTCTCGCACTCATTGACATCCTGCTCACAGTTCTTGCCCTTGTAGCCCGCATGGCATTCGCAGAAGTAGTCCTTCACCTGATCAATGCACTTGGCGCCGTTCGTGCAGGGATTCGACACGCATTCATCAATATTCAGCTCGCAGTTCTTGCCCTCGTAGCCGGTGCCACTGCAGTCGCAGTGGAAGCCACCCAGCTCGTCGATGCAGAGCCCATTGTTGAGGCAGGGCGCCGAGACACAGTCATCGATGTCAATGTCACAGATCCGTCCCGTCATGCCGGGTATGCAGGAGCACGTGAAATTGTTAATCATGTCAATGCAAGTGGAGCCATTCGAGCATGGATTGCTGATGCACTCGTCTATATCGATCTCACAGTTCTCTCCCTGGTAGCCCGGCTTGCAGTCGCATTCGTAGGCATTGATCTTGTTTGGATGAAGAGAATTGAATATGGTTTATCAATAAAAGTTTTGCAAAGGTAAAAAATTTCTTTTCGATTATGGTTTCTAATAGATTTTCGTTTATTTATAGTAATTGGTGTATGAACTACTGAGGGGCAGCATGGAAAGCAAGTTCCTTTAACTAAAATCGATTCTAAATGGGATAAACTAGCTCTTAATTATTTTTTTTAATTTATTTTTTGGAGTAATTGTCTTACAGTAGAACAAAGAAAAGAATAAATAGGGAAATATATATAATAATTTTAATTTAATAATATATTTTATATTTTAATTTAATAATATATATTTTTTAAAAAATTTTTGCATATTAAGGAAATTGAATAAATTTATAGGCAGGCTATGAAGTAAAATAAATAATAAACACAATTTATTTTAAATCGTATATATAGAAATTAAAATCTATGGAAATGGAAGAGGCAAAAAATAAATTTTAATGGGGAAAATTATTAGAGATGTTGTCTAAGCTACAAGTACAGATATTATGATTGTACTGAAGGGTTATTATAAACAATAGACTAGAGGGAGCAATAAGCTGTGACTATCAGATAAGGAAACAAAAAATAATCAACAAGCAATTTAATGGGATAATTCGTCTCTAATGAATGTTTTATTAAAACTTGTTGATTTTCTATCGAATTTAATGTGATAATATTTCGTGTTTGCTGAGGAGATTGTTATATGATAAATTCCTTGAGAGCAGCTTGCAATTTTGAGATTAGCTGGCTGTATATGCTTAAAAGTTCTATAGCTTTTAGTATTTTCCGATCGCACACAGACCCGTAATGCCCCACTCACTTGTCTCAATATCCGATGCTTTCCGTATTTAAAGAAAAACAACTAATCACATTTTAGTAACTGGCGACGCTTCTGTGCCGTGCAGATCGTTTCGAAACACTTACCTTGTTGTGGCACGTGGCGCCGTGCAGGCAGGGATGGCTGAGGCACTCGTCCACGTCGGAGTCACAGTGGATGCCCGTGAATCCGGGCGTGCAGTAGCACTTGTAGGAGCCCTTCTCGTTCTTGCATATGCCGTTGCCGCAGATCTTCGGCTGCAGCATGCACTCGTCCACATCGTTGGCACAATTGCGACCCGTCCAGCCCCGCTGGCACTTGCACTCGTAGTCGCCGTTGGGCAGATCGAGGCACTCGCCACCATTCTGGCAGGGCTGTGTGGCGCACTGGTTGCACACCTTGTTCTCCGGGCAGATGCACTGGTTCTGGGCGCAGACCATCGGCTCCTGGCAGTTGAGGGGCGAACAGTTCTCCCCCTTCTCGCAGCGGTCGCCCGAGTAGCCAACGGCACAGTAACAATGGGTGCCATTCATTGAGCAGGTGCCGCCATTCAGGCATTTGCCGTTCGTGGCATTGCAGTTGATGGGCGTCAAGGCCAAGGCGTTGGCGCCATCGCCCGTGCTCTGCTGACAATTGTAACCTGAATATCGAAATTAAATTTTAATGTTAATTTGCTTCCCTTACCAACTGCACCAAAGCTCTACTCTTAGATCGAAGTGTTCTACGAGTCTAAGTATGTTTATATTTACAGTTAATATAATGCAATAGAATACACTAAGTACTAAATAAGTCTATATATGTATATATTTATATTTACAGTTAATATATCGAGGGTTGCACCACAAGTTGCAGAGGTTAAGCAGCTCATTCAAGCGAAATTCGACTACAATTAATTCATTCACGTTAAATATTTAGTTCATACACTATGATAGTTAAAGGACTTGCAGTGCAACCCTTTGTGATAGTTGTTGTTGCCAAACCTGTGTATCCACTAGCACATATACAGGTATAATTGTTACTATATCCTAGGCAGGTGCCACCGTTCAAGCAATTTTCTTGGGGACATGCATTCAGGGAGGCCGAGCGTTGGTTTTGTGCTAATTGTTGTTGTTGTTGTTGTTTGTTTTGTTTACTTTCTGTTGTTGTTGTTGTTGTTGTGGCTGTTGCTGTTCTGGTTGTGTTGGTTATTGAAGGTTTTTTGGTGGTAGTATAAGTTGTTGTTGCAATTGTGGGAATAGCTGGGTTTGTGATTAGCGTTTTTCTTGTTGTTGTTGTTGTTGTTGTAGTTGTTGGTGTTGTTGGGGTTGCTTGTTCAGGTGTCGGTGTGGTTGTTGTTGTTGTCGGCAGGCAATGACCAATTGGGCCTACATACATAAGTCGCATAGCCATATATACATATAGAGCATAGTTATATTTGTCCAGCCAATAAGTTAATTAGATGTAGGTGTATTTGTTTATGCGTGTGTGTGTGTGTGTATGGTAATTGAATATTAGTTCAAGCATTTTATCAAAATTTGTTGTTAAATATGTTTAAAGGCTAAATGTTGATGAGATCAATGTGTTTCTAGCTCACGAACTAAGTTTCTATTCGGATTTTTTACCTATTGAAGAAAATTTAGATTCTGGTTTAAATAATACCAGTGAAGCAGACTTTCTTCTAGCTCAAATATAATTGGTATATATTGCCTTTATAATCTATTTGTATTTGCTTTGTTCTAATTAATATTTGTTTTATTATTATAAATGTTGTGGAAAGGGCAAATTCATATATATTATATTTATATGGGAGCAAGCTCTATACTGTGGCTGGGTTTCTGTACATCTTTACTATAGACCTACTTAATTTGAGTTCACAACGCTTGCGCTTCAGCCACTCGGGTGATATGTAACGCTTCTTCTTGCCACTGGCGCACAGAGCGCTTAGTTCTCCTTCACCCTCGCTCTCGCCTTCGCCTTCGCCCTCGCCCGCGCCCACACCCTCTGCCCTACCATGCAAGGCCAAGTACAATTCAAGCGAAGTTGGCAGCGCCAAAGTGGAAGCTTTTGTTAGATTTCAAATGTGTACAGAGGGAGAAGAGAGATAGAGAGGGAGATATATATTTGATAATCATTATGATACCCACGCTGGAAAGCTAAGCCCCAAACTAAGCAATTACATGCGCCACACCATGAACCATTGAACCCATAAGGAGGCCTACATAAAGAGCCATCAAGTACTCACCCGAAGTTCCTGGCTTACACATACACACGCCGCCAACACACTCCGAATCGATGGGACACTGCTGGGCACAGCTGGGACCCAGCTGGCAGAGCTCGCCGCTGTACTCGGGCGCACAGATGCACTGGAAGCCGATGGCCTTGTCGACGCAGGTGCCGCCGTTGAGGCACTGCTGCGTCTGGCAGCTGATGGGCTTGTCGCAGATGTCGCCGTGCCAGCCGTCCTGGCACTGGCAGGTGTAGCTGCCGTACGTATCGAAGCACCGGCCGCCGTTCAGGCACGGATTGTCCTCGCACTCGTCAATGTTTGTCTGGCAGAAGGCGCCGACGTAGCCGGTGTTGGTGCAGTCGCAGCTGAATCCATTGACGCTATCGATGCAGCTGCCGTTGTTCTGGCAGGGCTGCGAGGCGCACTCGTCCATGTCGATTTCGCAACGCGCCCCCGTATAGCCCTTGGCACACTCGCAGGTGGGGCTGGAGCTGCCGCTCAGCACAACGCAGGCGCCGTTATTCAAACAGGGATTCGACTGGCACAGCGGATGTATGTTCACCTCCGTCTCGCAGTGCTCTCCACTGTGATTCGCATGGCACACGCATTGATAGTCGCCTCGTGAGTTCTCGCGGCAGGTGCCGCCGTTGTTGCACGGATTCTTGGCACACGGCGATCCGTTGTCCTTCTGGCAGTTTTTGCCCGAATAGCGGGCCGTGCAGCGGCACTCGTAGCCATCGGCATTCGAGGTGCAGGTGCCATGGCCCATGCAGGGATCGTTCAGGCAATAGTTATCCTGCAGCCGTGTAAATGTTTCGTGCTCGCTGCACGGCCCATACGACAGCGGACAGACACCGAACACGGCGTTCTGCTTGGAGGCGTTCACGAACTGCAGTCCAGGTCCGTCCAGCAGGCAGCCCGAGAACGAGTTGCCCAATATCAATATGGCCAACTCGTTGCCAATGTCCTGATTGGTAAGGAACTGGCTATTGTACGTCGAATTAGCTGCAATTACGAAAGGAAAGGTGAAACAGACAGATCGATTAAGAACTATTTTGCATATTTAACTTAAGGTAGTCAAATAGTTTTTGCAATTGCAGTTAATTGCCTTAAAATATAAAGCGAAACGATTCCATTTTCACCCTCAATATTCATAGGCATTCAATGTAAAGGGACGTGGATATACGCCAAATTCTTAGATCACGTAGAGCAGGCTCTTCTAACAAATAATTTAAACATTCTCTCACGATCAAATAAAACAAATATTAAATAGTTGTTATATAAATAAATAAATAAATAAAATTATTGGTAAACAAAAAAATAGAAATTAAAAAATAAAAAATTAAATAATAATTTAAAAATATCATAAACTTAGTTATAAAAAAAAAAAAAAAAAAAAAACAAATTTGCTTTTCTTATAAAGCCTATCGCATTTATGCCAAAATTTTTACAAAAATAAATAAAATATATTAGCATTTACATTATAATTGCCTGATTTTAAATTATAAATTTAAATATTTATTTATATTAAAAGCAAAAGCTTAATCCGCAAGACTAGTCACGTCAGCTCTGATTTTAACTTGAATTTGCTTTAGCTTAATTAACGACTTTCCGCATGGAAGTGAATTAGGTTTTTGAAAAAAAAAAAAAAAAAAAAAAATGTTGTGGGTTTTAAGTCAATTTATTTTTTAGGCCGCATTGTTATTTACTTTTAACTAAAAGCAGAAATTTCGAAAAAAGCCACTATCTAACGGATATTTTGTGTCCAAATTATCATTATAATTTGTTTATAAATATTTAATAAAATTTAAATATAAAGAAATAGTTTTATTTAATAATTAATAGAAAAAATAGTTTCTTTTTATTTGATATTTAATAAAAATAGTTAAATAATTGCTCATTTTCAGATTTTATATATTCCTAGGGTTCGGAAAGCTTCCACAAATTTAACTGGAATGTGGTCTGTGGGATGTTTGCTGTCTGTTCGACCGCAATTTCTTTTCATTGTTGGTATCATTTCACGGAATGAATTGAAAGATAATCACTTACCAAAGATAATTGCCTCACGATCCACATGCAAATAGAGATTGCCGTACTCGTACTTGAACTGCAGCGTATGCCAGCGATTGTCCAACAGTTGGTAGGGCAATCTGACATCCAAGCGATTGTTGAGTCCAATCACGGCCGGGCCGGCCAGCGAGACTTGCAGGAAATCGTTGAGCACTGAGATTACAATTGAGTTTTTGTTATATTGCTGGGCGAGTATTTCGCCGCCGCGGCACGAGCGGAAGCTGATCGCCGAGTGGTCCCAGGTGGTCATCGGCGTCTGCAGGCGCAGATAGGCGGATCCATTGAAATACGCCTCCTTCGCGTGCACCTCCACCGGGGCAACATCTGTCAGAGAGCCGAGAAATACAGAGTGAGAGAGAAAATTAAGGTTAGCTACGATTTGATACAAGGCCAGGCGGCCGGTAATCGCATTTGAATGGACTAAAGAGACTTCGTGGACTTCCTCATTTGTCGCATTTGCGCTTATTGGGCACATGGCTAATTTAGCGATTGGCCCATTGGTTTACTGTCTTAGCGGCGCTAAAGTGAACCAGCATTGACCAAATTAGAAGAGATGGCAGCAAATGTTAAGCAGCGGCACCCAACAAACCATTTCGCGCACAACTTTCATTTGCGCTGGCGGCACAGAATCGATTCGCCTCGCCCCCCTCTGCCTCACCACATGTGCGTGCTCGAGTGGCAGCACCACCAGCACCAGCACCAGCACCAGCACCACCGGCAGCAGCCGGCACTATCCGCAACCACACGCTACGCTCACTTCAAGTGTTTTCCTTAAAGTTTAAAGCTTTTCAAAAGCAGCCAACAACAAACCAGCGAGTGCACAAGCCGTAAAGAAATAAGCAAAATCAAAACATAAGCCAGTTTCTTCATCTCGCGCCGCTGCAAAAGTTGAAATTACGAGAAAGAAAGTTGTACTTAGGAAGCCGATAAGGCAAATTTTTAGAAACATGAAACAGTAATTAATGATTGACGGTTTCTGCCTTCCGTTTCATTCGCAACTCACATGCGCTTACGAAATTAATCATTCATCAGCTGATGAATATTGAATAGTGTTGATACAGTTATTTTTAAATAATTTCACAGAGCTGAACAATTGATTAACATAAATGTGGGCAAGTAAATGTTTTCATGTCTACACTTTGAAAGTCACAAATCTTTGTCAAGTCTTTCTCGCCTTGTAGGTTTCTTGGTAGCTCAAAACATCTGTGTCACCTGGCCAAAGGTACGTGCTAAAAAGGTGAGAAAAAGGTTAGCCAGGGCACACCGTTAAAAGAAGGTTGTTGGCCCTTTAACGCGAACTCCCTGCCCTAAACCCTGACTTGACATAAATTTGCTCAAATTTCAATGTTACAATTTAATTATTATACATTTCATTTCAGGGCTAATGTTAAACAAGTAAGAAAGCTCTAGTCGAGACTGCTCGACTACGAGATCCCCTGAACCCTACAAGCAACTGATATTTCAATAATAATTAGCACCCACACACGCACTCATGCAAACAAATA